CAACCACCATTCTGGGACCAATTTATGTACTTCCATCATCCAGGATGTGGACACGGTGGTAGCTGTAAAAAGACATTTGAGGTATTGTAATGCACTTTCTTATTCACACAATCTACCTTAGCCAAACTATAGAAATTTAAATTCTGAGCAAGGTTTCTTCATTTTGCATGATTTTTTATTATTCACACACAATTTGCATCGTGGTAAAACAGAATAAAATAACTTTTTACTGTCAGCCTGAGGCACAGATCACCACTCCCCAATGCCCAAAATAAGGGCAGCGCTAGCGCGGTTCATGGCTGAAACCTCACAGAGAACTCTTGATTCTACCAGCTGTTTCACTACACATCGGCAAAAAGTTCTGTAAAAAATATGCACCCCACAGAAATACGAATAATACCGTATTGGCCAGCGTCTAGGTGCCTCTGAGCCACTGACAGCTAAGGACATTTGCTGCTAAACTCTGAGAGTTGAGCGCGGTTCAAACAGGCCCGTAATACCAATACGGGTGCCGGAACCCGTAGTGACGTCAGCGCTCCCTCCGTACGGGCGGTGACGTAATTACGGTTTCCGGCACCCGTAGTTAAGTGTTGAAATATTTTAATTTTTCTCCTTTCCGTGTCGTGACGTAGGTTTCCGTATTTTCTCCGCGGCCAATCAGCGCGGCGCGGTTCCCTCCTCCGCCCTCCTTGCCACCGGCGTTCACGTGGTTCCGCGCAGTGTTGCCATTTTAGCGATTTCGTCGCTAGATTTAGCGATTTTCTATACATTTAGTGGCGGATTTTTTTAATTTAGCGGCTAGCGACTTTTTTAGCGACTTTGGTGTTCAACAGTAATCTTGTTATTTTGAACAATTTTAGAGATGCACAAGCGCTAAACCTTTTAGCTTCTCTAGCCGAGTTTGCCTTGAGTATATGCTCAATTTAGTGGCGCACTTTAAAAACATGTCAACACTGTTAACACTGCAGACCATCTCTTCCGCACCCACGTACCCACGTGCTCTCCGCCAAACGTCATCCTGACTATAAGAGCTAACCTCAAGAGGCACGCAAAGACGTGTTTCGACTACGAACTTCCAGAAGTTGTTTGGCGAGTTGACAAAGCTGAAGCCTACAAAGCTGGCAACGAACCGTCGACATCGGCAGATTTTGGGTGACTTGAGTGCAGTCACCATCGAGGAAGAACTCTTCTTCTTCCGGACTGTTCCGTTGAACTGTTCTTGAAGACAAAGCAGTCAATAGGTCTGTTCGATTCGCCTCAACTGGCTGAACTAGTTCAGCAGTGCAGGAATCGGTGCATTCGATTCAACCGGAAGTTGCACGGCCGCTGCGCTGGCGCGTCCGATTCATCCCAGTTCTGAACGAGTTCAGACCAAGTTCCTCAAAACCTTGCACTGGCTCCGGAGTCAGTTCAGCGTCCGTGCAGAAGCAGACGACAAGAGCAGACGGCGATAGCAGACGACACTCCTCGTCCGTCTCTGCTCGCGGTGCCATTTTTCGCTGCTCTTGCTGAAATGTCTGCGATTTTTAACAATAACGCCGATACGGGCGTTGCATTTTCTCTCATTTATGATAAGAACGTACCCACGGTGGACGCTGAATTGAGATCCTAACCAAGAGTAGAAATTCGATTGATTATGATATTCTGAAAGCGTTTTAGGCACCTGCTCGTGTAGGTTTGGTTCTTTGTGGTAAGTGTTGAAATACTGGCTCACGTAAATTGTTTCTTTTTTATGCTATTTGGGGATCCACAGTGTTGATATTCGTCCTCACCAACACGGGAAAGGAATTGCACTCTTGATAGCCCCCGCCTTCAGGTGCTCTTAAATGCATATACTGACGACTCCGCTACATTGCAGAGGTCTGGTATTTAGTACATTGGCCCTCGCATGCCCCGTAGCTGGGTATAATACTACATGCTCTGTCCGCTAGTATTTGGACGCCCACTAACGAGCCTGGGAAAAGCGACCCCGAGAATCGGCGTTTGCTTGGTAGTTCCATGCAGTTCTTTCTTGAGAATTAGCATAAACGCTTCGGCTTGACGCCAAAGTTACGTTCGATAACTGTCTTGGCCAAAACGCTATCGTCAGGCCTTCGTCTTCGAGGTGACCGCTATCGACCGCGCGCTGCCGCCAGTGACTCCCGACGCAAGATCATCCTGATGCCGCGAACCTATCGTCGAAATGCGAAACTCGAGAGACTTGGAGTGAGTCTACTATTGCGAAATGAATGTGAAGGACACGAGCGCTTATGGAAACGAGAGGAACTGAACGGCCGTTAAGAATGCAGACAGAAACACACTTCGTGCAGAAAACGTTTTTAGTACACTCGGAAAAAAAAAGATTCACAGAAACGATTCCGTTATTATACCTTAAAACTAAAAAAAAAACACGAACGGTCTCATCAAACCGCGACTAAATAAATATAGCATACAACTTGGCGTTCAGAAACAAGAGCCAACCGATGCAGACAACACTCCGCGCTTCCGCTCGGAAAGCCGATCACAGCGCCAGTCCTAGCGCGGCGGCTGCACTGGTTCTGCGCCGCCGGTGCACGACTCTTGCACTCCTCTGAACTCGGACAGAACTAGTTCAGAACTTTCTGGCCGAATCAAACAGACCTATTATTTCCGTGTTAAAATAACAAGTACCTGTTTCTTATTCGTACTTTCGTACTAACCGCCCAGCCGTTTCCCAAAAAGACATTACAAATAAAAAAGTCCTAGTTGTTTTTCAGTGTAAATTTAACCTCTCAAAATACCTGAGATATGATTATTTAAAGTTCACTTACTTTAAAAGGGTTTAATAAGCTTTTGGAATTCAGCGAATAGTTTAGCGACCTCCCGGCGAATCTAACGACTGTTTAGTGACTTCCTGGTCTCAATTTAGCGGCGCGCGCAAAAAAAAAGATGGCAACACTGGTTCCGCGTGCAAATGCCTCAGAAGCTCCGTCATAGAGTAATATAGTAGAACGTAAAGAGTGGCCACTCGGACCCTATCGCGGCCCAGAAAGTAGGTTTCACGGCAGCCGCCAGCTGGCGCCATAGTGCCTATTTATTTACATATTTGTTATATTTGCACCGTTCATAAATTGTTCTATCTTAATTTAGAAGCTTTTAAAATTGTTAGTAGCTTCGAAGGTCACAGAAAAATATTCCAATGATTGCGACTTCCGCTTGGGCAAAACGCCGCCATAACAGCAGCCTGCCCAGGCTCCCTGGGTGTTGGGCTCGGCGGCTCGGGCGGTCTGTCTGCTGTTCCTGTCGTCAACGATTTCTCGGCGTTCACTTTGTGGAAAAGGTGAGCCATTTCAAAACACTATTACGCAACCACATGACGAGTGTTTCACGTGTCTGTTGGGCGTCAGCGTCTTTCGGGCTCACCGCTTTTCTCTGTTCCATCAGGTTTCATAGCGTGAAATGCGGCAGGGCAGAAGCGTCTGACGCTGCAAACACGTGCGCGTTGTCTTCAGCGCCGCTGATTCCTTCCAGCTTTCACTTCTCAAACGCGCGTGCATTACATGCTCATTTAAAGCGTCGAGCTGTCTCTCGTAGTTGTTTCTTTTTTGGCACTTACGGTGAAATGGAGCTGTGCACACAGTTTCTGCGGGGGCCGAGAGTCGGTGACGCCAAAGAGAGGTCCTTAGAGGCTTCGCTCAATGTGGTGTGGTTTCTTCATCCTACTCGCACGAGTTTTTCCTTCTTTGCGTGAGGTTTTGTCCTTATTAATGTTGAAAGTACATACCGCAGCGCCGTGCTTTTAATTTGATCTGGTCGAGAACAGCCAGCTCGGGGAAATGAAATCACAGGTGAGCAAGGCATCCGATTATCAGCGTAATTCGGTGCACCCTGCGCGCTGGAGTATGCGGGAGCACCATAGTGAACCATAGTATCATGAGGCGCCGAAGCATTGGTTTCACGTCGTCCGAGTTGGTGTATACTAACATGTAATTCATCTTTTTATTTAAGGGCGCTGTTCGTGCACCGTGGTTACCTCGTGATTTATACAGTACGAACTTGACCTTGTGTTTTGTATATTAGTACAGTTTATTGCGTCATGACCAGCTCCCTTTTCGCAGGCATATCAGAATCTCACGGCGCCAATTCTGTAAATTGTTTTCTGCAGCGCACGCCGTCGAAATGCCCAGCTACGGTAGCTACTGCTGCGTAGGGTGGTGCTCTAACAACGGAAGAACGTGCAAGAAACCGGGAACAAAGTTTTTCCGGGTTCCACGGGACAGCAGGTAGCCATGGTTTTCACCTGTCTTTGTTCTAAAAACTTACTGGATGACTGTTCAGCTGTCAAAGCGAAAAACGGAACGTTTGTTTCTTCAAAACTAGTTTCAAAACTGTAGTAAGGGAAAAACTTGGGCGAGTTCTTTTGCACAGGGATGAATAAAAACAGTACAGGCGAGACGAAGGAACAGAGCTCTGGAGTACTCACAGTACCAAGTTTTGCTCAAACTACACTAAGGTGGTTAAGTAACACAGTCACTTACCAGCCGTGGAATTGTTATGTATTTCATTTTTCTTAAAACTGTACTTCGTAATCTCGCACATAGCCTGTACTTATGAGAAAATAATGTATAGGACACTACTGTGTGTTTGCCTTCACATCAGCACAGACGTAACACTTCACTGAATATATCATGAACAAAAATAGTTGTCATTGAAAATTTCTGCTGTTCTTTTTGTGACATCCTATAACTTCGAAGGAACAAATAAAATTATATATCTGTGATGAAGGGACAGAGGCATTCCAGTTAAGCAGAGATGGCCTATGTATTAACCGCCTCTGGCACTTTAATGTCCAAGTCATCTTCAGGCATTTATATACCTGTACCACATGTCACAGGTCTAAGGCGTGGGTCGAGTACGCCAAGAGACATGACCTCATGGACAAACCGGCGGCGCGCCTATATGCGAGCTACTACGTGTGCAGCGACCACTTCACTGTACACGACTTCATGGACCCTGGACGAACGAGGCTCACAAAAACAGCAATGCCCAGTGTTCGTCCCCAGGAACACTGGCAGTCTGTGATATGTCGTGGTAATGCTTTATTCACTTCCCGATGTATGCAAAATATATTAGTAGAAAAACTTGGCTTACATGTAACTCTACTTTTACTGCTTCGTAAGCTCTGACGTTACTCTTACTTCTATCTAGCATCAGTGGTATGGCCACGTTTAGGCGATCGTGTCATGTTGGCGTATCTCCATCACAATATCGTGTGTTCACTTAGTCTCAGTATCATTGGTTTTGGAGCTTCCCTAGCTCCAAACCTTCCCATCATCTAGGAATGTTTTGTTTTTGTTTCAATGTCCAGAACGTGTTGACTGCTGTGTTACACCCCCAACACTGCTGCTTTCGTATCCAACATTTTGTTAATTGCAGGTGACTTCATCTTGTTTTTTGCAGACCTCGTGGAGGCCAGTACCTCGCACGGCACGCCTTCGGACAGCCAGCCGGTCACCCTGTCCAGGGCAGCTCACGGTGAGGAATCGACTCTGTTTGAAGCAACAACTTGTTTCTAATAACCAACTTCTTGCAGATCTCGCGGAGGCCAGCACCTCGCACGGCACGCCTTCGGACAGCCAGCCGGTCACCCTGTCCAGGGCAGCTCACGGTGAGGAAGCGACTCTGTTTGAAGCAACAACTTGTTTGTGATAACCAACTTCTTGCAGATCTTGCGGAGGCCAGCACCTCGCACGGCACGCCTTCGGACAGCCAGCCGGTCACCCTGTCCAGGGCAGCTCACGGTGAGGAATCGACTCTGTTTGAAGCAACAACTTGTTTCTAATAACCAACTTCTTGCAGATCTCGCGGAGGCCAGCACCTCGCACGGCACGCCTTCGGACAGCCAGCCGTTCACCCTGTCCAGGGCAGCTCACGGTGAGGAAGCGACTCTGTTTGAAGCAAGAACTTGTTTGTGATAACCAACTTCTTGCAGATCTTGCGGAGGCCAGCACCTCGCACGGCACGCCTTCGGACAGCCAGCCGGTCACCCTGTCCAGGGCAGCTCACGGTGAGGAATCGACTCTGTTTGAAGCAACAACTTGTTTCTAATAACCAACTTCTTGCAGATCTCGCGGAGGCCAGCACCTCGCACGGCACGCCTTCGGACAGCCAGCCGGTCACCCTGTCCAGGGCAGCTCACGGTGAGGAAGCGACTCTGTTTGAAGCAACAACTTGTTTGTGATAACCAACTTCTTGCAGATCTTGCGGAGGCCAGCACCTCGCACGGCACGCCTTCGGACAGCCAGCCGGTCACCCTGTCCAGGGCAGCTCACGGTGAGGAAGTGACTCTGTTTGAAGCAACAACTTGTTTCTGATAAACAACTTCTTGCAGCTCTCGCGCAGGCGAGCACCTCGCATGGCACGCCTTCGGACAGCCAGCCGGTCACCCTGTCCAGGGCAGTTCACGGTGAGGAAGCGACTCTGTTTGAAGCAACAACTTGTTTCTGATAACCAACTTCTTGCAGATCTCGCGGAGGCCAGCACCTCGCATGGCACGCCTTCGGACAGCCAGCCGGTCACCCTGTCCAGGGCAGCTCATGGTGAGGAAGCAACTCTGTTTGAAGCAACAACTTGTTTCTGATAAACAACTTCTTGCAGATCTCGCGGAGGCGAGCACCTCGCATGGCACGCCTTCGGACAGCCAGCCGGTCACCCTGTCCAGGGCAGCTCACGGTGAGGAAGTAACTTTGTTTGAAGCAACAACTTGTTTCTGATAAACAACTTCTTGCAGATCTCGCGGAGGCGAGCACCTCGCATGGCACGCCTTCGGACAGCCAGCCGGTCACCCTGTCCAGGGCAGTTCACGGTGAGGAAGCGACTCTGTTTGAAGCAACAACTTGTTTCTGATAACCAACTTCTTGCAGATCTCGCGGAGGCCAGCACCTCGCATGGCACGCCTTCGGACAGCCAGCCGGTCACCCTGTCCAGGGCAGCTCATGGTGAGGAAGCAACTCTGTTTGAAGCAACAACTTGTTTCTGATAACCAACTTCTTGCAGATCTCGCGGAGGCCAGCACCTCGCATGGCACACCTTCGGACAGCCAGCCGGTCACCCTGTCCAGGGCAGCTCACGGTGAGGAAGCAACTCTGTTTGAAGCAACAACTTGTTTCTGATAACCAACTCCTTGCAGATCTCGTGCAGGCCAGTTCCTCGTACGGCACGCCTTCAGACCTCAGCCCAGTGACACCATTCTCCTCTGCCAGCTCTGAATCAGCCGAGGCTTGTAAGTGTCTAATTTAATTTGCTTATGTGGATGTCTCTATGCTTTTCATGAGTAAGATTCTTCTGTGCAAATGGAAAGTTGGCATTACTTCTGGATATCTTTAGTTAACAGGCATTAATGACCTAAAAGTTTAATACTCATAAATATAAGGTGGTGTTGATTTTTCACATTATATAAATATAATGCAGAGTTGAGTGGACAAGCTCAACTCTATGGCCACATATATTGTTTCTCAGCTGGCTAATATTGTGTTTCTTGGTTCCAGCTATTTCACGCGCCTCCACGCCCAGTTTCCGCAAGTCAGCAGTGAGACCTAAGGACGTCATAAAGCGTCTTCAAGCCAAGGTCTCGCGCTACAGGAAGGCCATCACAAGACTGCGGAAGCAAGAGCAGAAGGCGCCTCAGACAGCTACAGAAGCCCTCGCCATGATTCGCCCTCATGTCACTGAGGAGGTATTCCAGCTGGTGTCAAGTCATATGAAACTGAGGTCGAAGGGCAGGGGGAAAAGATTTCCGCTGTGGCTAAAAAAGTTTGCCTTGCACCTAAACTTCTGTGGGCCGCAAGCGTACCGATTTTTGTCCACACACTTCACTCTGCCTTCTCGGCGCTCCCTGAGAAGGTGGCTGTGTAATATCAAAATGACACCCGGAATTATTCCAGGCGTAATGTCGTCTATCTCGACCAAGACGCAGTCGTGGAATGAATGGTACCGAGTCTGTACCCTCATCTTTGACGAGATGGTCCTAAAAAAGAACTTGGCCTATGATGTCACTCAGGATGTCGTTCAAGGATTTACGGACGATGGCATCGAACGCACTTCCACAATCGCAGACCGAGCCTTGGTTGTCCTACTCTCTGGTATTTCTAAGAGGTGGGTTCAGCCTGTCGCCTACACTATTGGTCATACATCGACGCCATCGACCGTACTTCGTAACTTGCTGACATCCCTGATCGAACAGCTAAATGACATCAGAATTACTGTAAAGGCTGTCATATGCGACCAAGGGGCCTCCAACGTCAGTTTGGCAAATCAGTTGGGTGTGTCGGTCAGTCAGCCATATTTTACTGTAAAAAATGAACGTGTCTACTTCATTTTCGATGTTCCACACCTGATAAAAACAACTCGCAACAATGTGCAAGCGCACAGGCTTCACATCGAAAATGAAGTTGTGGATTGGACGTACATAGTACAGTTATATCATTCAACACATGAGATGCGGCTGCGATTGGCAGCAAAGCTGACTGACCGGCACATTTACCAAAAGCCTTTCAATAACATGAAAGTCAAACGGGCCACACAGGTTCTGAGCGCCTCGGTATGCGTCGCACTGCTGTCTCTTGTGTACGCAAAAGAACTTCCAGAGGCAGCCATGTCTAGGGCATACTTTTGCGATCGGATGGACAAGCTTTTTGACTGTTTAAACAGTTCGAGGTGCAAAAAAACAGAGCAAAAGTTGCGACATGGAATTCGGAAGGGAAATTCTGAGTTAGTTGAGTTCCTTGAGAAGCAGCTTCCTTGGATTGCAGCGTGGACGTTTGAGGGGAGACGCCAGCCACAAACCATCATAGGCTGGCATGTCACTATTAAAGCCATTCTGCTGCTCTGGGAAGATGTTTCTCATAACTACGACTTCCAGTTTCTGCTGACCCGGCGTCTTCAGCAAGATCCGCTTGAAAACATGTTTGGGCGTATTAGGCAGAAGCAAGGCTGCAATACAAATCCCAATGTGTCTCAGTTCACTTCTGGGCTGAAGAACATTGGGATTCAGAAGCTTTTCAAGCTTTCAGAAAAGGGTAATGTCGAAGACGACGGGTCTGGGCTCCTTCAGGAGTTGTCGCCATTTTCGCTTCAAAGTGAATCGCTTGCAGACATTGTCGAATCTGTCCCGCCTGACAACTTTCCTCCGCTAGACAACATTGCAAAACTGGCGGCACATGACGACTCGCACATCATTGATGAATCTGCAACGTACTATGTCGCGGGATTTTTGATAAAACTTTTTGCTGAGAAGACTGCGCCTGGTTGTTCATGTTCGGAATTGTTGAACAATGAGCATGACACCCTGTACCATCCTCATCAGAATTTTACAATGCTTAAAGCGTACCACATCCCGGGGAAGCTTTTTGGAAACCTGACCGTGCCCTCAGAAGCTGCCTTCAGATATATCCAGCAGCTTGAGTTACACTTCCTTTTTGTCATTGAAAGAGTGGCGCACCTTCGTAATGTCTGTGGTATTTTGTATGCCAAACTCGTGGACGTTGGCAGTTTTATGTTTTGCACTAAGGAGTGCCATACGAAGTTTTTAAAGATGTTTTGCAGAGTACGTCTCTGCTGGCATATACGCTTTATTAACCGGAATTTAGACAGAGTTAGGCTCCAAACTTGCGTCTCTGGGGCACAACTGGTGAAGTTCAAAGGGTAGTATAAATTTAAACATGCGTTTAGCATTAGTTTTGCATTTTATTACATATGTGTTACAGGTGCGAAGAAAGCTTTATTTGAGCAGTGCAAACCGAGTGTCAAGCATTTTTGGTATTACTTTTTTAAAGCTGGGTCGCAGGCCACCTGGCTATATTAGTGTATGTCTAATTTCAAAATACTTTGGCCTTGTATTTTTATGTATGGCCATGTTGAATGGGAGAGTTGTCATTTTTCTATTATGCATAGTCCTGTACATTGGTCACGCAACTTGGATGTCATTGAGCCTTTCCTGGTCTTGTTCACGATTGCTGCTTTAGTTTGATGTGCAGCTTGTGCATAGGCAAGAAGAGTCATATTGTTTGGACAATGGCCGCGGGCTAGTCATGTTTTGAATTGTAATTTTATGTTGTGGGGACAATCTGCAGGTGTGGAATATACCAGGATTTGTTTTTAGAAGATTGTTCCTTATGATAGATGCGACGGAATTTGTGGATAACGGATTGTTAAATAATGATTTGTTATGCTAACTCTTTTTGTGCCTTAATAATTGATACTAGAAGTTTTTGTACACTAACAAGGCAGGCATTTTACACAGCGATCTACTTAGGGGAATTTGTTTGTGTGGGTACGCAAACAAATTTGTGTGGATTCTGAAGACTATACCACTACCCTGTGTGTGGACTATAGTCCGGAAAAGACGGTACTTAAGAGAACGGTGCACACTGCACGCCGAGCAGTTCCAGGTATAATTTGTAATGACCAGGTTGCAGGCCAGCAGTCGATCAGTCTTTACGAGCGACTGCAGAACCACTTGATATGTTTTTTCTAGTGTGTTCGTGTTCAATGTTTCTTTATTGGTATGGATCTTCGTATTGGGTCACCCGGTTTTGGTGTCAGTTGTGAACTTTTAGATGTTTCCTCCCTCAAACCTGTACAAAAAGGCTGATGAGGTTTTTCTGACAAATCTTCTTTGTAATACGTCCTGAAACAATTAAGTGCAAAAATAATTTTCACGGTCTTTTGTTTCTGTTTTTTATGTAAAGTGACTATTTTTTATGGTTATCATCGTGGCCAAAATAAGATTTTTAATATTTGTTAATTGCTGCCTTCTGTTGGTTGTCCCTTTTTTCCTGTTCCGTGACATAGTTTTATATTTTATATTGGGATTGTACATGGTTACCTCATTACCTGTCTGTCCTGAAATTGCAAATGAATTTAAGCGTGCTTTTGAGTTGTTGAATACACAGCTAAAACGCCCAAGTAAATTCTAATTTAGCAACCGTAACCAAATTTAAAATTGTAATTAAACTTGAGGAAGAAAACGAGAAGGACGGACAACCATAGTTGGAAGTTTGTAAGGTGTCCGTCCTTCTCGTTTTCTTCCTCAAGTTTAATTACCTCTTACCAACCCGCGCCGCTCGTTCTGTCCTTAAACTTGTAGTTAGTCACGACCGCCTAGGTGGCGCAAGCTACCGCACAATACAGTTGGAAGCACTAATAGTTATCCATTCATTTGACTACTAGTATTCTGTGACTCTATTCATGTTAAAAAACGAAACCGAAAGCATCCAAACAGGAAGTCGAGAAAAATTTCACGGCGGCCGCTAGGAGTGCTGGTAGTTGAGTGGGCCGCTGGGGTCTATGGGAGTGGCCACTCTTTACGTTTTACTATATTACTCTATGGCTCCGTGCTTACTTGCAAGAATGGCTGCGACGATGAACTTCCCGCCCGTCTCCAACGCGAGGGAAGCTGCTCAAGCTAATTTGAACGGCGCGCCTGGCAGTGCGCCGTTCAAACCAAACCGCGAAGCTTGGATCCGTAACGGGGGCGAGAAGTAATTACGTTAGTACGGGTTCCGGCTCCCGTATTCCGTATTCCGAGTCTGTTTGAACCGCGCTTTAGGCGGTACACTTACCGTTTCAGAATACAATCGAATACTCCCAGGGACCATCCTATATTGTGGGAAGGGGCATGGTCAGCAGTCCGAGCTGCCTTTATACGCGAACTCAACTCTCCTGCGTCACGCCGCGGTGGTGGCGCATCGGGCGCACTTCCGGTCTGGGGCGGTGGGCCGAAGTCGCCGTGCAAGATATGCATTCCTGTGCTCTTTTGGGGAAAACCAGACAGAAAACCTGCCTTTTTGTCAAAGTGCTGCGGCGGGGACTGTACTAAAAGAGTCTGGAAAGGTTTGAAGGTCATGTTTTCATATGTTTCTGCCCTCTCCGTTCGTTCAAGAACGTGGATAGTAGTTGTGAAAAGGGCAAGCCAGACGCTGTCGAACTACGATTGCTTGTGCGGGCAGCACTTTGTGGTCGCCAGATGTATGTTTTGTTCCAACATGAACGAGAGAAAACCGCCAAGTTTTCCGGACCACCCACGGGTTCAGTGCATCTTCAAATTCACACGGCCGCCTGATCGTTCGAATTTTCTTCTGCTTTTTCAAACTTGTCTGCTTTTTGTCGTCTGCTCGTTCAAACAAAAGCGGCTCGTAGACTAAACTTTAACCTGGTAATTGCTATAAGAAAGAAATTGAACGCCTCAAAAGGTTTAAGTAGGCTCGGTGTAAACAGTAGATACCAAATGTTGATCATTGGTAGCAGTGGCCATCACCGACTTGTTACGCTTGGTCTGTTTCCGCTTCCGATTTTCAGTATCGACGTCGATCATCGCCGCTAACTTCTACACTTTTGCGGGACGAGCGACGTAGCGACCGCAATTAGATAGAGGAATCTCATCATGGTTTTGGCGTCCATTCTGCGGCGTTCATGCGAATGAATCGCCGCACGTCAAATCATTTACGCAGAGTTAAGTGGCGTAACAAGCCTTGGTAATTTCGGTCAGGAGATGAAAGTGGTAAGACATTGGTATGAGGACGTAGAATCAACAATTCCAACGCGAAAAAGAGTATGCAGACTCACACAGACGCCGACAACGTGACATTCCGATGGTTTGTTGACGTGGGAACGCGATGCTTCTTGCTTGCACTCCATTGCGGATGCGTTCGAACTGTCGTCTGCTCTTTCAAACTTGTCTACTTTTTGTTGACAGCTCGCTCAAACGACAGCGGCCCGTAAACGAAACGTTGACTCGGTAATTGCGATAACAACTAAGTGCAGGCCTCAAAACACTTTTCAAGTTTGGTTGGGGTAAGTAGGGCTAAGTCTAAACAGTAGATACAAGAAGATGTTGATCATTGTTACCAGTGGCCATCACCGACTTGTAATGACCGATTCTACTTGCGGCTTTCAGCATCGACGTCCACTATCTCAGCTACGGTCCA